CGGCCACGGTGAGCCCTGAGCATAGAGGGCAAGCACAGAGTATAACAGGCGTGCCCCTCTGAACGGCCACGGTGAGCCCTGAGCATAGAGGGCAAGCACAGAGTATAACAGGCGTGCCCCTCTGAGTGGCCACGGTGAGCCCTGAGCAGAGGCCACACTCACCCAGCTTCCAGCTCTTCCTACACAACTCTGAAGAACATGCTTAATTTCCAAATAAACAAAGGAAGCCTCGGAGATGTGACAATAAAATCTGACAACATTCTGCAGTTGTGAACTAACCAGTAGTGGGCCCTACTATAAAACTACAGGTATAACAAAAGACAGGACCACAAGAATTAATTTTTTTTTCTGAAATACCAAAAACAAGAAAATATAATCTTACTAAATTATTTGACAAGCACTGAAAACTAGCAATGAACTCTGCCCTGCAATTCCATGAGAAATCAAATGAGAGTACTTCCAGTTGTTCTAGAAACTGCCCAGCACCTTAAAGATACCACTTGTTAGACTAATGTCACATGGAGTAGAATGTGCCTTGATTTCAACATTTGCAAAAGACAAACTAAGAAGCCTTGTATAATATCCAAATTGTGGCTGAGGTGGCTGAGGAGTGGGTAAGGGGAGGTGGCCAGAGCATTTCCCTCTCACATGCTGACTGACCGGCACCATCGGAGGGACTGGGCCTGCAGTGGAGTGTGAAGTACCACCCCTTCAGGATTTTACACAGCTGCAGGAGTAATGACATCAAGGGCAGACAGATTCTATTTGCAAACACACAGACGTCCCATACACTTAAATGAGCCAAATGTGAGGGGCAGTTAGTAAGAATATAGAGAGATACACTCCAGTCCCATGAGGCCGGGTCACAACAGGGAACAGGAAGCCGGCTGCCCCTGTGGAATGCTGTATTCCACTCTCAAGCCACGTCAGCTGAGACATTAGTTTAATGCAGTGCATCCAAGGAGGGCAACAGAAAAGTAAAGGTTCTGGAAACCTAGTGTGGTAGGAAAGAAAATTCCCACCAATTAGTCTATGAGATGGACTTTGCTCTGGCTAAAAGAGCAGGCAGCTTATGTGCCAATCTAACTTGTCAAGTGCCTTCCATGACTTTCATTTGCAAAAAGAGAGAGAAAAAAACTATTTCTAAATGTGCATAAATATAGTTCACTGAACTTCTGTTGGGGGAGGTGGGCACATGTCTATCACGGCTGCGGGTAGTCCTGAATGGCAGGGAAGCCAGCCCCGCTGGACTCAGAGAGATCAGTCAGTGGCGGGCAGACCCGGGAGTGAGCTCCCACACCCAGGAAAAGAGACCTGCACAGAGTTGTGCCTGAGGATGGAGCTCACCCCAACCAGTGCCCAAGCTGAGGGCAGACGAAGTGCTCAGGGGTCGCAGCAGGGGCTTCTGCAAGGGTAACAGCTGGAACAGGGCCTGCGGACTGCTCTCAAATCCTCTAAGTCTGAGCTCGTACAGACATCTTTCATATCAAAATCTAAACACTCAGAAACTCTGTGAAGCAATACTGTACATAAGCATGTGAGTATGATTCTTTTTTTATTATAAATTTATATGACTTACCATTTAAGATTTTCTTTTCCTCACGACAGTCTGTACAGTGATTCAGAAAAAAAAGTCAGGTAAGAATATACTATACATGCCAAAGAGAGCGTCAGCCGCGCTGCTGATCAGAGGCAGCCCTTCTCTCCTGAGAGACCTCCTGCTCAGGGCTGGGGGGAGACTGACGTCTGGCTTCTGTTTGAAATATGCAAGGCCCACCTCAAAGATTGCTGAGCTGTTTCTCCAGATTTTTGCACCCTACTTCACTCGGCTTTTTTCTATTACTTTGTTCACTTTTCTCTAACCTTCTGTTTAATTTCCTTAGAGAACACATAAACCCTGAGCTTTATCCAGGTTATCATATTCTAAATTAGTCTAACTAACCAGAATTTATTAGGTTACACTTTATAAATGAAACACAAGCCATCTCCAAGACAGACTCTCTCTTAATGCAATTATTACAATTACAACCCAGAAAAAAATTAACGAGTATTTTCCTTCAGGATGGCAGACAACTCACAAAGCTACAAAGCTGCCTGGGAAGTATCCAGCCACGTAATACGAGAAACAGACACATGCATGCTGGATACTTTCCGGACAGCCCTTGTGCATTACACCTTACTAACCACAAGTGCTATACCACTGTAATCAAAATAAAGCCCTCAGCAAAGCTGTCAGAGCTTAAAACAAAAAAAGAACGGTAAGCTAACACAAAACACCCACGGAGTCAAAATGAAGGAAAACCCTTAAGTTGTCATCACTTCATTTTATAGAGAAAGAAACGAATGCACTTGAAGACAAAGCTTTCCAATTTTTTATGTTCTAATTTTCACTCACCAAATGACTACGGAGGCCAAGACTATCCTTTTTGTTTACCTCTTTTTACCAAAATAATTTTAAAACTCAAAAGGGTCTTAACAACATACAGCAAATTATCATCTGATCTCCTCATTTAAGACTGAAAATCAGAGGTCCAGGCCTTTGAAATCTACAGCTCCTCAGCTGCAAAGCTAAGGTTAGACTTGTCCTCCCTAAAATTCAGCCTTACTTTTCTTGACAAGCTATCGCTACAGTACACATATCCTAAAAAGATGTAAGACTTAAAAAACATTTCAATTATATCTAAAATGGGCTTTATCAACTGCCAGATAAAAATCCCATTACAGTGTGCAGGGGTCACCGTGTCCTGCTTGGCCCCTGTTCCCCGTGAGTTTCACCTGTCTTTGCTGTGACATTTGAGATTCTTCATCTTAGAACAAACAGCACATTCACTGTAACTTAAGTAAATTGCTTCTATTTTCAGTGCACAACATAGCTGGTGGCCTGATAAGCCTCATTTATCACGAGAAACAATTTGTTTTCATCTAAGAGGTTCACAGATTTTGAAAAATTGTCTTAGGTAATTTGTTTCTAGGGAAAAAAATTACCTCATATGATTACTTCCTGCCTGATATGAAAGGATTTTAATCTGCTAGAACTTTCTGGATTCTGCTAAATAAGTCCTTTTTTTAGTATGAGAAGTACAAGTAGGAAGATAACTTTAGCCTGGATGGCCTGAATCACCTTTAAAACCCCACTGCTCTCCTCCTGCAACTCTCTCAAAAACTGAGTTATGGAGACAGAGGAGATTTTCCCCACTGTTAAGTGTATTTACACCTGAATCTTTTTAGTGAGGGACATACCTTTCTCCCTGAAATATGGCGTCTTCTCTTCCTAACTAATTCCACCATGATTATCCTTCACTGCTAGAGAAGAAGGTGGGAAACAGAAAAGTCCTTCTCCTTCTGTAATTTCAAGTCTCCTATGAGCAGCAGCCCGAGGAGCCGGCAGGTGGCCCATCACACCACAGGCCAGCAAGAGAGGGCACGCGACCTCTCCCACCAGATGGTAGAAATAAGACACACAACATACACAGAGAGCTCAAGTCAGTCATCTAGAAACCTGGTCGGGACCCTTTCTCTTGCTGGCACCGAATCAGTGAACTTAAGAGTCATTAAAGAAGATAAAGGGATTCGTTTACAAAAGTAACCCAGCTTAGAAGAACTTCCAAACACCAAAGTACAAACTTACTCGGTTTTTGTTTATATACATATTGCTTATTTGTTTTGTAGCAATAAAAGGAAAAAAAAGTAATCCTTATTGATCATCCTTTACACTCACTATGCAAGATTAACTTATTAATTCTTAGACCTATGACTCACTGCACAGATCAGGAAGCTGAGACTCAGACATCAGCCAGGGCCCAGACCCAGGTGCACCTGTGATGTTTCCATGCTGCCAATAAAATCTTAAAATGCAAAACTCACTGAATAAGTCATGAATGACTATTTGAAGAAACCAATTTACCCAAATTTTAGTATGAAGGTCAGGAGTTACTCAAAAGAAACAACTACTGTTCCCTCCTAGAAAAAGGGGTGCACAGTGCTCGTTATTGCAACTCCACCTCTAGCATTTCCAAAGAGTGCTCTTTTGAAGGAAAGTTAGTGAAGAGATGGCCTTCATGCCCCCACACTGTGCAGAGCAAGCTCAGAGGTCAGGAGAAGAAATGGGTTATAATTTAAAGAAGCTTAAAATCGTAATACGGAGTCATCTGTAACGAGGGGCAAGGAGTGGGAAGGTTCGAGGCAAAGGGGAGACACGAAGCTGGAAGAGAAAGTTTCACTGTAGAATGTTCTGTATTTTTTGATTTTTGAATTATATGAATGTGTTACTTATTCAAAAAATTAAACTTTAAAAATAAATTCTAAGTAAGTGTTATAGTGAATCTGCCCTGTAACACCAGACTCAGACTAAGGAAAGCCAAACACAAGAGTCAATTCTCACTTCCATGACGTTGACCCCCCACTACGCATTTTACCTGCAAAACACGTCTAATGTTTAAGTGGAAGTGAGGAAAGCAGTGAAAACGAGGAAAGCAGTGATCCATTTAGATTTGCCTGGAAACCCAGTCAGACACGGACCCCCGTGCACCGCACCCCAGTGCCACTTACCTCTGGGCACCACGGGCTTAACGGCCATCCTGCCCACCAGGCATTCTTTCAGCATCGATTCATAATTGACCCAGCGATGAACCTGGTACAGAAGACAAATGACCAAATGACAGAGAAGCAACGTGACCCTATCCCCACAGGACGGTCTTGCCGTCATAAGCAAAACTAACCTTCCTGAGCTGCTCTAAACACAGCATCTAAAAACCCAGCAGCAGATGCAGCCGGTCAGCAGGGCGGTGACGGGAAGGCTGCAGAGCGGCTGCTCAGAGCAGACCCAGCACTGTCTGTCACCGCACAGGTGCAGGTGTCTGCTGCCAGACACCACTGGGAGGAACTGAACTGAAAGTTCCATGGGGCATGTTCTCAATATGCTGATAGCCTTAAAACAGGCAGCTCTCGTGCTCAGAGAGTTAGGAATTTACCTGAGAAGGTATGCGCACATGTACAAAGATGTGGGTACCAGGAAGCTTCCCACAGCACTGTGTAAACAAACCACTGTAACAATGCAGACGTCGAATTATAAACTATCCGTAAAGGAAAATCATGGCATATCATTCAGTGCAATCCTGCATACTCGGAAAAATAATCTCATCGAAAATAATACTGAGATCACAATGCGTACGGTGTTATGCTCCTGAATAAACACACACCAGAATAGCGAATGTGTAGAAAACGGACAGAAAACGGTCAGAGTGGGGTCAAACCTGAGGGCAGAAATACGACCGCAAGGAGATCCTGCAATTTTCTCTTCACAGCCCAAATCCTGGACACAAGGAAATTCTCACGTTGAAGAATTTCAGAGAAGCTCCCCTGAAGTTTCCAGTTTACTTTTGGTGGTGAGTCAAAGTCGTCAGTACTTTAAGCATGGCTGGCCTCACTACAGCCCAGGGGATGCAGCAACCACTGTCTCAGCTGCTAGAGAAGGTGATGGAGTGAGGACCTCCCCGGAGGACGCTGTGGGGAGCCAGGGGCGGATGCGGCTTCCCCACCCAGAAAGAACACTAACAGTGTGTGAGACTCCGCCACTTCCCTAGAAGTGGCAAAGGCTTTTCGTAATATAAGGAGCAAAGGCTTTTTCGTAAATATAAGGAGAAAAGTGACTAAATATCCTTTGAGATACCAGAATGGACTCTGTTCTCACTCCAGGAAAATCTAGGACTTCACTCATCACCCAGCGCCACCTGACTTCCTGCGGGACCCGCAGACACAGTGTGGGGAGTCAGAGGCAGCTGCCCCCCCAAGAACCCCTCATGAGAGAGCAGAAGCCAGGGCCTTGCTGGAGTGCTCCAGCCCCTCAGAGCGGACCCCAGGCCCTTCCTCCAGCTGTCACTGCCTCCCACAAACCAGTCAGCACGTGAGCAGAATTGATCAACACGGGCCAGCAGAGGAAGCAGGGTCCTAGACACAGATTGGAAACCATCTCAGTAATAACAAAATTAAACGGCAAACGGAGGCGCTGCTACGTGTGAGCATCCTCCCACACTTCAAAATGCCGCGACACATCTGAAATTTATTCCACTATTTTCTTTCTTTTTATAAATGTCACACTGCTACACCTATGAGAACTCCTCTGCAGAACACTTGGGTTACTCCCAGCACCTTACCTGGTCGAACAGGTCCGTCCCGTCTGAGCCCGCTGCTCTCATGAGTTCCTCCTCCCCGCCCGGGTGGTACTCCATGTACGGGCTGACGTTATAAACAAGCCCTGCGTGGAAGCAAGGAGAAGTAATATCCTAAGTGAACATCTTAAAAACTGCAAAGGCTGTTAAGTTCCAATAAATCTTTCCAAATATATTCTATTCAACAATCATTATTATTTCAAAGTATCAAGAACTGTCTAGGGTCTGAGATTTCACCTCACCTGCAAGTAACACGAGTTATCGGCATCTGCAGCTGCTCGCTGAACCCCGGTTCCCACAGAGCCACCTGAAGATGGCCGTGTGCCTGCCCACGCACGGTGCCGCGTTACAGGAGAGGGACCTCGGCTCAGGAAACCAGAGCCTTTTACCAGCCCCACTGCCCTTGTTCTGGAGGAAGCCATTGTCTTTTTAACCCTATCTTTTGCTTTACAGACACTATTATCCAAGATGGTTCTCTACACAAACATCCTTAAAAAGACTGCCCAGGACAGAGATAGTCGGCTCCACTGCCCACAAGCCACAAGATGTGCAGAAATGCAAGATGACCTACAGAAAAGCACCTCCCAACACAGACGGGACCACACATGCGTGTGTGTGATTTTTGAAAGTACACACACGCGCGCTCTACACAAAAATATTATTTATACTCTATCCTCTGCTGCGCTGGTGGAAGAACTGATGAAAAAGACTCGCCATCTCATCCACGTGTCTGACCCTCGAAGCAAAGGCCAGGCGGGCTCCGGGAAAAGGAAGCCCAAGTCTTCCCTCAGCTGCCCAAGAAACAAAGATTATTATTTATATCTGAATCTTTTTATCTTCCCCAAATATTCATCTCATCACTTCATATGTTCAACTATTTTTTATTTTAATCTTTTAAGAAAGAAGAATCAAGAACAGCAGAAAGAGCAGAGTATCTTAGTGAAGAGCCTTTCCCAGGACGTGAGCCGCTTGTTCAGTCTCTACTGGAAAACTACAGAGTAAGTGAGCCCAGCCCTAAAGATACCTCGAAAGTGCAAGGAAAAGGTTTCTTAACCCAGGAACACCCCCTTTTACATGGCGACGTCCCTAAATTTAAACAACTTCAGATAACTTAAAACAGGCATCCTCAAACTACGGCCCGCGGGCCACATGCACCCCGCCTAGGACATTTATCCGGCCTGCCAGGTGTTGTTGCCGCTACTGCCTGTCCTGCTTAGCAGCCGACTCATCTCAGGGCCTGCAGTCCGTCCCTCGAACGGCCTGAGGGACAGTGAACTGGCCCCCTGTTTAAAAAGTTTGAGGAACCCTGACTTAAAATGTAACAATAATCTTGGAACAAGAGAGGTTGGATTTTAGAGGCAAGAAAGGTATCACAGTTTCTCCACTAAATTTTAGAAAATAACCACTCCAGATATCTTTGTAAAACTGCTTAAAATCAAGCACAAAAGGAAATGGACTCACAGAATCTCTCTTTAGCAGTCCTCCAAATATGTTTTCTTTCTCTTTCCCCATACATTGCTTTTTACCATATTTAGAAGAAATTTTCTTTATTATTTTATGCTCCAAAATCCACAGACCACAAACCTGAGTGGTGATGATTAGGATCAGATTATTCCTCCAGGCTCTTTAGACAGAGAATGCCTCCTGCATGAGTGGTCTGAACCTCCTTTGCAACCAAGTCTTCACTAGAGTGCTAAGTTTCTCAAGAACAAACACATGACTATCTGTTGATGAATTTCACATGTCATAGCAACCGGCTTTGTGGGTCACTTTAACGTCTGTCCATGATCAGCCACAGCCAGAGATGCCCACCCAGTGTGTTCCCTGCTGCCTCCTGGGCCTTTAGATTGACCCTGTTTCATAACCTCACCTCTTTCCAGACTAGGACCACTCTGAAACCTGAGGAACAACCTGTCCTCTGCGATGGACAAATTAGAAATGTGTCCACAATCCCTCACTATACGAAATAAGCCTGTGAATGTCCAGAGCATGAGCAGAGCTGACCCGACCGCACTTGGCGGTGTGAGAGACCTGCCAGTTGTGAGACTCAGACCAACCCTAGGAGGGGACGGTGCATTTTCTCTGAAAGGCTTTCTACCTTTCTTTCCTTCCTTCTTCTTCTCAAAGCATTTCCTACAACTAAAACCTGGGCCCTTGCATGTGGCAGAAGAAAGCAAGAGAGAAGTACAGGCTTCAGGAGTTCTGTTCATGTCGCGACTCGAGGCCCATCAGAGACAGCGCAGGTGCAGCTCC